AGGGCGCTTACAGTTTGTTGTTATAATAAAATTTATCCCGAGAAAGACAGCCTCCATCTGTCCAGCAGATGACAATTCTCTGCTCCCGTTTCCGTGTCTTGATGCTGCTGATCCTGACAAATTAACACCGAACCTGAAAAGGGACCTCCGCCGCACAGGTTCCACATTTCCATCAAATTAAACAGCCTCCCATCACAGAGAGCTAATTGTCTCGGTCAAAAAAAAATAAACAAGCCGGAGTGCGAAACTTGAAGTGACAGAACAAGTCCCGCGTCTGCATTTGACCCTTCCAGGATACCCCGTTGTAAATCAACCTTTCCAGCACGCACTTTCAATTAACTGGACTATTTTTTAAAAAACACGAACCGGATTCCTACTCTAATTAAAACACATAAAATTTGTTTTTTTTTGTTTAAATAAGCCCCTTTCGTTAATAAGATCAGCTGTCATGCAATTTGCAAACGTTGATTCAAAGATGGTGCATAGTCACAAGGGACTTTTTTTTAAAAAGAACTCGACTGTCCGGAGAGCTTAATCTCTCTGAGATACCATACACCTCAAAGACTTTACATACAGTGAACTGCATGGAGTAATTATACCTGAAATTACGTGAACAAATAAATAATTAAAATCGAATTTTCCTTGGTGCAGTAAGTGGACGTTCAAAAAGTTAACTCAGAGTTTTAAACTGGGTTTCTCCTTTGGTCCCAATCGAGAGGCCATGAAACATGCCTTGTTACAGGCCAGGTTCCCATAAATCGAAACTATTGTCACTTTCAATTCTCCATTCCCAATTTGGTCTAACCCAGTCACCTATTGGGAAAACTTGGACTGTGAAGACAGTGCGCTTAGCCTGACAGCATTCCTGTTATTAGTGAACAGCGTTTCCGGTTTTGATGGTATTTTGAAACGTTGGGCTGGTTAAGCCATTGCGGTAAATTGGCATATCACACGGGAAGATCAGGGTTCGTTCGGTCTATTGGCGCTACCTGTAAAAGCCCATTGAAGACCAAATTGCCCCTGTCACCCATCACACTTTGAATTAATTTGTCACTTTAACTGCAGTATATTAAAAGCTAAATTCAGAGCCTCCATTTCTTCCAAATCTCTCTACCGCCACAAGATTAAAATTGTTTATCCCAAAGGATGCACAATTAAAATATTGTAAATTTATGCCGAAGATCTTGTTCTGTGGGCAAGATTTGTGTGCATGCGTGGGAGGAATGTGCACCTTTGAAATACAGATGTGCACGAGTTTGCAGGTCTCACTGCAGAAGGGACGCCTGAAACAGAACTGCCCATGTTGTACCTAATCATTAATTATCCGCTGCTGCTGGTTCGTCTCGCAGTATTGACAGTCTCTTCTCAAAATTGAGAATATAACGAAACGGGAAATCACACAGCAAGTTCACTCAGCATATTGAGACTTCGGGCTAAAATCTATCCGAGCATCCTCAGATGCACACACACCACCTTCACAATGGCTCGTTTGGGTGTACATTGCCTGAATTTATTTCCACGAACCTTTCCCGTGAGGAACATTAAATGTAGTCTTCTGCATTCAATTTGCGGGGGAAAACAATGACGCGCCCTGGAAGAAAATTAACTTATTCTAATTCAAGGAGTAAACGCAATATTTTTCAATAGGTTTTGATAACGAGTGGGGTCGATCCTTTACAATGACTTCAAACTCTATTTGAAAATTTGAAATCGAAAATATGCCCAGTGTTAAAAGGTAAATCTAATCCTCAAAGCAGTGGTTTAAGAGTTATATTGCTAATTAACCCTTAAAGAGTCACCCATCCTTTAATTCGCCAGTACAGCAAGATAAAACGGGAAACGTCTTTTCAATATATCTTCTCAGATTGTAATGTCAAGGTTTCATATGTACTTTTATCATTAGGCAAGTATTGCAAGGATTTTAAACGAGCTTTTGAACAGTAAAAGTGTTCCCATGCAATGAATCTTTCAACAAATAACATAAAGTCATACAGCACGGAAACAGACTCTTCGGTCCAAATCGTCCATGCCGACCATGATGTCCTAAATTAAGCTAGTCCCACTTGCCAGCATTTGGCCCACATCTCACTAACCCCTGCATAGTTGAATAGACAAACACACCTTTATTTAGTGGTTTTGTGTGTGCTTTCCCAATGATCGCTTTATCTAGTCTACATTTGGGGGAACAGTTGTAGCATCCCTTTGCTCAGCCCATTGTATTGGAAAATGCAGCAGGGGGAGGCTACTCAGCGGCGATAGCCAATCAACCGGCAACCTTCACAATTGTTGAAAGCCAAAGCTTTTTTTGAGATTGGGTGCTTTCCGGGATCAGCTCGACTCACGGTTTTGGAGTGTGGTGGCTCCTCTTCCCCCTCCCCCTTTCTCGGTTCTGAACAAAATATTTGACGGCAAGATCCCTTTTATTTAAGGGTCTTACCAGAATGTCAAAAAAAAATGCCCGAAAATGAATCGACTAGAATGTGCTGGTAAACAATTAGACACTTTCCCCGTTCCATCTTTTGTGCAAAATCTGGTAGACTCTCTTGTCAGAGGATTTCAACTGGTCCCTGAGTGAGAGATGCCTCCGTTTGATCATTTCTCGGCTTCGACTTGGCAGAAAGCAATCTTTGAGCCAAGGTAGCGCCTTTCCCACGATTAGAAATCTAGTCAGACTGCTAACTTGCAGCCTTGAGATAGTTTACACCAAGTCCCCTCCTCCGTTCAACAGGCTGCAGCCTTCCCCTGTACCTTTTTGAATAAATAGAAAACAAGAACAGGCCATTCAGCCCAGCTGGTTGATGCCGGCGATAATGCAGCGCTCCGGCCTCCCTCATCCTTTTGTTATTCACCAGCATATTGTAGGGGTATCAAGAAACAAAAGCGCATTATCTCCCATTCAAGAATCCCAATTAAAAACCTTAGAAACGCCCCAAATTGTCAATAAGCGCAGTTAGGCAGAAATGATCCAAGCATCGCACATTCAGGTGAATTCTGCCTTGCTGTGCGAGCGCCGGACTTAGCAAACAAACAGTCGCTGTGTCTTTTCGTTTCAAATTCGTTCGGATTCCTGTTGATTTGCTGTTTATTTCGGCCTCTCCAAAGGAGGAATTCTCGATCGACTTCACAGCAATATCCACGTGAAGGGAAACATTATTTATTAATTCCGGACTTGTTTCCCCGGACAGCTGTGAGCAGAGGGCACAGGACCCATTATTATATTCCAGAAAAGAAAATCGGCGGATTTGTATAAGTAAAATCTGTGAAATTTCTGTAAAAGTAATATTTGTAAAAGTGGTAGTTTAAAAGAGATACATTGCAAGTGGTATCAGATATGGGGGGGGGGGGGTGGGGGGGCGGGGGGGGGGGGGGAACGACAAAGCAGGATTTCGCTTGAAATCCCCTAACGAAAAAATGTTATATTAAGGATGGCAGTGAAAATATCTCCAACATTTAGAAAAATATATCTCTTTCGTTTTAATATCTGATTCGCTGCCCGCTTCTGCATAGCGCAGAGGAGCTTTCTATGTAAAATGATTGCAACACAGTAGCAGCCACGGGTGATCTGCGATTTTCTACACATGGGGATTTAGATTATTGCGTTAAAACAAATGCCTTGCACTTTTTAATCGTCTGCCGGCTCGTCTCTTTCCCCGTTCGGGTTTTATCTCGCAGTTTTCAATCCCCTGTGTTCATTTTACTCACTGACCAGTAATCACAAACTGTTCTGCATTTGTTGCACTTTCAAAAACGACTTGTTTTTAAATTAATAATCCCATTTAAAGCTTTGTCAGAAGACTGTGCGTGTATTAAATTGAAGGTGCCTCAGATGTTTCAATTCAATCTCAATATAACATGCGTTTTCACACAACGAAAACTTGTTTCTTTTTGACCCAATCCTCCAGGTATCACTATTTGAGGAAACATTATTCCACACCCCACCCCCAGTCCCCTTGCCACCCATGAATGAGAAATGAGCTTCTGCAAGGCAACTCTTTAATACAACACAACTGGCAACAAAGAATCACCTGTAATTAATCATATCCTCTGATACTTCAATCTGCAGAAAGCACTCACAATATTACACCCCACTAAATACACAGGGATAATGTCGATACATTCACATTTTGTCGATTCCCGCGGATATCAATTGCTTATATGCCTCTGTGAACATCTCATTGATGCTTACAATCACATAAATACTACAGTCTTTCTAGCAATTATGTTTCAACTTCCCTCAAAATTACATCCACTGATCCAAATTTACCTTGACAAATGAAACACAGTTTTCACTGTACTCAACAAAGAACTGATTTATTAAAAGGTGCAAGATTGGAGATATCTAAGCCGGGTGCCGGAATTTTAAAAAGTGCATAACCCATCTTTCGGATTTCCGCCTGAGGATTTATTTTCAAAATAAGTGCTCAGACCTGGTTTTAAAAATGTACACCGCGCCTGACCAGTAAAAGTCGCGCCGCTTCAGAAAGTAAGTTGGGCGTGTGAAGCCTTTTGAGAGACGTGAACTGGAAAAGCAAAATGGAGAAGTGGAAACATGTTGTGTCGTACGGAAAGAACTTTCAAACGCCTTTGCATTTTAGCTATAAACGTGGTTTGCAACGCATGTCCGATTCTACGTAGTACTGATCTCAACATTTTTTAAGGGAAAAAGTGCGCTGAAATACATATCATTAACCGTTGCATTGCTGCAGTGAAACCCCCGCTAACAAGACATCACTCCCACTTTGAACTAAATCTATCTGACTTGGTTTAAATTCTGTTTTGTCACATTGGTGATGGAAATTAAGAGGGCCCAATTTAACAAATAAAATCTGCCGAATTGAATACTTTTAGGATTTTTTTTGTTGATATACTCGTTGCTAATATCCAGTTCTGCTGCCGTTTCTGAATTTTACCCCTGGTTGAATTGAAAGTTTGTGGGGGGCGGCGGGGTGTGGGGTAGGAAATGGTAAAATGTTTTTCCATTTCTGCTGCTGTTTTCTTACCCTGATTCCTGGCTGGCTGTTGCGTGTCCATGCAATGGTTGAGGTAACCGCCGTTGGTGAACATTCTCGCCTGACTCGGAGGCGCCTGACTGGGCGGAGGAGCCCCGAACGCTCCGTAACGACAGGCCCCGGCCGTGCCGGTGAACTGACCGGAGAAGTGAACAGTGAAAGCGCTGAGGCAATGGTCGTCGTGGGGCTCGCTGGCGCTCCAGCTCGGCTCTTGCTTGATGAAGGACGGGTGGCCGATCGGAGCGCTGTAAGAAGCCCCCGGGTGAAAGTCCAGCACCGGAGCCCATTGGGGAGCGCTGCTCACCGGCATGGTACAGCTGCTGTTCCCCGGGGTCAGAGTGGAGACTGCCGGCAGCAAAGCGTTCAGGTCCCGCACATCGGAACCCATGGTGTCCAAACAATCTTTTAACCAAAACGAATCAATCGTTTATTTCTTGTTCTCCTCTCTATATGAATCCGTTCCACCCTCCACCCCCTCCAACACAATATTCCCAGGGCTGGGATCTCCTCTTGTTGGTCAAACTTCCAAGCTCTTCACACAGTCTGCAGGGCTATTGTATTGAGGCTGTCAAATGGTATGTATGATAGGATGGCGAGTTGTGCGTGTTTAGTAGCAGCAACACTATGGCACATGTGTCGGATTGGATTGGTGACTCCGAGCCTCAAATACTGCGGAGAGGTGGAGCCTGAAAACTCTCTGATCGAGATCCGTCCTCCCTGGTTACATGGACCAGTTTCCCTGTCCACACAGTGTGTACATTTCTCCCTCTCCCTCTCTCTCTCACACACCCACTCTCCCTCTCTGTAGTGTAATCTGTCGATTAGTTAGAGAGAGAGGAACAATCTGGGCGAAGGGGTGGGGGCAGGGAGGAAGAGATGGGGACGAGGGTGTGTGTGTGAGTGCGCGGGGTGGGATGCATGTAGGGGTAATTCATCCCTAATTCCGAAAGTCGCTATCATTCGACTCAAGCCTGTGGTGAATCTAACCAAACTTCCCCTCTATTTTTTCTGAAGAGCTTGTTCTGCAATAATGGAGGCTGTGGATCAGATCAGTAAGTCGAACTAAAATGTAGAATAAGACGCTACATAATTTTGATATCTGTATACATAAACATAATATCATAGGTACACGTGAATGCTGGATGGAGGTGAAATTGACTCCCTGGAATAATCAGGTTATTGTAATATTTCAAACAAAAACAAAAACTTGCTGTATTTTATTTTAGCTTCGCTTTGCTATCATTGCATTTGTCGGAGATTTCAGAATCACGATATCTGCTGATGGGATCCCAAAGTACAATCTAAACTGTTGCTTGATGTTTGAAAACAAAAACACAAAACATTCTCTTTCTGGGCAACCAGCTGCTTCGTTTATTATGCTTGGAAAATTTGAAATCACCGCAAATAAGCGAAATATTCGCATATGTTTTATTTAAAGGCATTTTTATTTTACAAAATCCGAATATCACTAAACTGTTCCGACTTGGGCAACGTATTTTAGTTTAAATATCAATTGGCTGCTAATTTGTCGGTGGTTTGATGTACAATATCTACACTAGAATGTTCGAAAATGTGAACCACCAACTTATCATTTAATCTTTTATTTGAGAACGCACAATACGGGGTTGTTGATGGATGTGCAGAGAATTTGCAATTGGGAATATATGATAAACTATTAGCTTCGCGAAAAAAAACGCAAGGAGAACAGAAGAGACGCATCAGTTCCGAAGTGACAGACCACAATCCATTAAAGAAGCGAGCAGCACATAAACGGCCATTTAAACGTTAATGAACTTTCCCCTCGCAGACGATTACTTTTTGCCTGACATGTTTTCCTTTTAATTTTCACACGGTCCAGGAATCCGACGGTCAGTTAAACAGCGATCTACTTAATTTGCTTTCTTTTAAAAAAAAAGCTCTAGGATAACTTGAGATCTGTTTTCATTCAAGCAGGTGAAAGCTAAATCGAATGCCAGGAATACAGCCTTAGAGTAAAAGTTTGAAGCAAACAATTGTGAAAAATGCAGCTATGCAATGCACTTTTACCCAGATTAAATCTTAATTTAGCAAATGATATAACCGACTAAACGGTAGAGGTGGTGACCTTATTGCATAGAACACTTCCTAAGTAATGGAACGCAGTTACTGTGCAGTGCAAATGCTGTGCCAGTAATTGAATGAGTTTACACGCACTGTACAGTACAAAGTAAAATATTTTGAGATGTGAAATTACACTTGCCGCATATTCAATCGCAAACAGGTCTCACGCCTTTCTTTCTAAGACCAAACATTAGGAAAGTAAAACCGCGTGGTTACAAGCGTACAAAATAATACTATTAATTATTTACCTCAAACTACTTTGCGGAAAGCATGGGCATTTATTATTCTTGTAGGCTTCTAAGTAATAATCTCGGGATGGAAAATAGCAATTTGCAATTGCTGGAATGGCTTACGATTGTGAACCTGTGACGTTTGAACTTTCGCCCTGTCTAATTGCATCCTTATGATTTCCTAAGTATCAGTGTGTACATGAAAGTTAAAAAAAAGTGGAAATCACTTGTTTTGAGCAAAACTAAATCCCCTCTCCCTGCAGCTCCCAACACCTTCATGCAAACGCGTTGTTTATACCTCTCGGCAGATTTAAGAAAAACTGTTCATGATAATACAGCACGTCCAATAATATGACGCATTATTCTTTTATTTCTTGAGGTTTATAGTTACATCCTTTTTTCTTAAACTTTATGGCCATATTTGAAGATTAGTATAGTTATATGAAAGGTTTTCGTGGGGAAAGATCTATTAACCAGTAAGCACGAAGAACAGTTACTGAAATACAACAATCATTTCAGACAAAATCGTCTATTTGCAATAGTGTAATTATATTATTGTATTCTATATAGTATGTTCCCCTAATTTTCACCGGAGGTTTTTACAAGAACGCATTATATTTGATGTAATTTTGTATGATTTTAAAAACAGTCATTATATTTTCCCCTAAGTGACTATCAAGGAGAAAGATAAGTCGTTTCTAGTCATTATCCATTGTATTCTGGTAGTTACTCAACTTTAAATTCAGTTAGGCATTGTCAATATGAAAGGAAAGTGCGTGTTACTTTAAAAATATTATTGATTTTTCCTCCAGCCAGTTACACCGCACGTTTCTTCACAAATTCCTCCGGGGTGTGACTGGACTCGATATTGGGTCACTGTTAGAAAGACCCTAGAGCTAATCAGTACAGTATTGACTAAGAGTTGTTATATTTTACAAAACATTAACTTGACCGAATGTATAAATGTCTGGCATTTTCTTTTTAAATGCAGTTTCCCCTCAGAAACAGGGAGCGCTTAGAACAAAAAGTTAAAGAACTTTCGAATTTAAAACAAAGAATGTAAAGTTAGAAGTTTCATGTAGATAGAAATACACGAATATTTGTTTCAAAATAAGCAAATTCAAATTTTGAAATTTGAAAATGATTTCGAAACAATTTGAGGCGATTTGTTTAAAAGCGAATAAAACTGAACATTAAGACGGGAACTTAACAAGGACAGTTAAATTGGTGCTGCGATCAGATTTATTTGAAGGATATTGAAGCAGAAGGACAACTTGACTTGAAAAATTTGCGCGTTTAAAAGTAATCATTCTGCAAAAAGACCCGGGCGAAATTAATCGCCTCGATAGAGAGGAATGATAATAAAGCTAGCCATCGTCCCACGTCACAATGTACTTTAAGAGCTGGTGTAAAGCTATAGTTTTGATGCACATTTGCTGTAAGTAACGGCATTGAAGGCAGCGTTCCCGTGGGGTTTTTTTCCGCGGGGAATGGAATTTTGGTTTTTTCATTGTTTGATTGTCAGAATTTGCGAATTTCGTGTATGCATCCAAAGAGTGCGCGATACCATTGGAAAAGGTGTGTCCAGTTTGAATTCCTAGCGGATTTACTGTCAATTTGGAAGTTTTTTTTCACTTTAAATAAGGCCAATTGATTTCAAGATCTTTCATGAAACGGCGCGAAACACAGAACGAAGGTTACAATTCAATTCTGTGTTAAAGAACGTCATTCATTTAATTTCACAGCCCGGTGTAAGGATTTGCGAGGACCGACCATCTATTACCTTCACAATATGTCCCTACCCTTGGGAATTAGGACCACTCCAACTAAACGTGCCTGACTGAAAGCACCTTCCTCGACCAAAGAGAAGGCAGTTTCCCTTTGGGCTGGAAAATATCCAATTAACTACCCTATTTGTTAGACTTAAACCCCCAATTCTGCAGGTGAACTTTTTTTGTGAATAAATATGCTTGGAACGACTGCCTTTGACATTCCAAACTTTCACAGAATGAAAAATAAATACTTTTCTTAAGAAGCACGAAAACGTCAATTGGGGCAGTTAAACAATTATTTTCACATACTTCCCTCGATAAGTTGAATCTCTCTCTGTACAGAGTGACGTGCTTTTCCTCGACTGATTTGAACCTTGATCCTATTTCACTAGTTTGGAACTGGAAGTTACTCCATTTTGAAATAATGACAAATTTGTTCATTTTGGTTTGTGGTTCGGTTTTTACAATCGGCACTGTCACTTTATTTTAGAAGTTGCGGTGGGTGAGGTAAGTGATTTCATTCAGTGTCTCCCCAACCTGGACTATCGACCTGGTCATTTGTGCAGCTCCCAAAACTGGTCAGTAACTGATGGAAAAGCAACACGCCAAAGGTAAAGGTTAAGTTAAGCCCTGACGTTGGAAGTTAAGAGGATCTTGTCCGTGTAAAAGATTGACAAGTGATCATCTCATTCTTCTGTTCGTTGTTAACCCAGCAAACGGATCATTTCATCACCATGTGCAATTTGCACTCGGGATGTTGGGGTTCTTCCGGAGCAGAGGTAGTGAAGTCACGTCTGAGCTAAGAGACGCATGTTCAAATCTTATTTACCCTAAAGGTGTGTCATAACGTCACTGAATAGGTTTGTTAAAAATATCTATAACTGAGATCACACTGGCACGTATATTTTACCCAATAGATACGGTTCCTGATCTCTCTGATAAGCAAGTGTGGCGCAAAGTTGCTCAGTGTACCAAATTGCAACATGTTGCAAAATTGACATGTCTCTATTTCAATATGTGACGATGTAGAGTTGGTACTTTCAGTGCTGCTGCAATGTAGCACCATTCCAATAAGGAATAAGTCGGGGACAGGTGCAAGGTGCAGTGAAATTTATGTCTGAAGTTTCCCAAGATTACACTGGCTTTCAGGTCAAGCATTTAGAGTGTGGGGTCTCCAACTTGACAGTCCTTCATGTATGTTGTGAAAAAAAAACAGCAAATGCTGGAATATTCAGCAGGTTAGGCAGTATCATTGGAACAAGAATAAGCATTAACTTTTTGGGAATTTTTTTAATGAGTTCCAAGTTTCACAGCAGTTTCCTTTGTATTTAGTTCATTTTGACTTCAACCTGGGTGAAATTCACTAATCCAGCCTAGGAGAGAGAGAGTTGGGAACTTGTGGAGTCCCTCACCAAAAACCTATGACTCAAATGTTCAAAGAGTGTAGATGGGACTTAACACTCTTTGTATATTAGTGCTAAGATATCTCCAATCTTTGCAGTCATCTACACTTAATATCAGGGCCAGTTTAATGGTAAAGCATCTTGGGTTGTCATGACTATCAAGAGCATATTATACTTCAGATAAATTGTCAGAACAAAGTGAGC